TGCCGACTAGATATAAGGAAAAATTTTTTATCAATTGCACCCTCAGCAAATTTGCAGAAGACACCAAATTGAGTGCTGTGGTTGATGCACCTGAGGGATTGGCTGCCATCCAGAGGGACTTGGACAATCTCAAGAAGCAGGCCCATGTGAACCTCATAAGGTTCAACAGGGCCAAGGGCAATTGCCTCATCCCTGGAAATGTTCAAGTTTAGGTTGGATGAGGCTCTGAGCAACCTGATCTAGTTGAAGATGTCTCTGCTCATTGCAGGGGAGCTGGACTCCCTTGTTGACATAGACAGTGGGATCGATTGCACCCTCAGCAAATTTGCAGAAAACACCAAATTGAGTGCTGTGGTTGATGCACCTGAGGGATTGGCTGCCATCCAGAGGGACTTGGACAATCTCAAGAAGCAGGCCCATGTGAACCTCATAAGGTTCAACAGGGCCAAGGGCAAGGTCCTGAACCTGGATTGGAGCAATCTGCGATATGAATACAGGCAGGAAGATGAAGTGATTGAGGGTAGCCCTGCTGAGAAGGATTTGGGGGTACTAGTGAATGAAAAGCTACACATGAGCCGACAATGTGCACTTGCAGCCCAGAAGATCAACTGTATCCTGGGCTGTATCAAAAGAAGTGTTGCCAGCAGCTTGAGGGAGGTGATTCTGCCACTCGGATCTCCTCTTCCTCTTCCTCTTCCTCTTCCTCTTCCTCTTCCTCTTCCTCTTCCTCTTCCTCTTCCTCTTCCTCTTCCTCTTCCTCTTCCTCTTCCTCTTCCTCTTCCTCTTCCTCTTCCTCTTCCTCTTCCTCTTCCTCTTCCTCTTCCTCTTCCTCTTCCTCTTCCTCTTCCTCTTCCTCTTCCTCTTCCTCTTCCTCTTCCTCTTCCTCTTCCTCTTCCTCTTCCTCTTCCTCTTCCTCTTCCTCCTTCCCCAGGAGCACCACTCAGCATTTGCACATTGCTCAGCTTTCTGCCCGTGATTCAGGGCACAGGGATGTTCATAACTTGCCAGTGCTGTGAAATGCAAAAGCCTGTTGCGACTCAGAGGCTGACTAAGCGCTGACCAAGTCTTTCAATCTCTTCCATTTCTTTCCTCTCCTCTCCTCCCCTCTTCTCCCCTCCCCCTGGAGTACATCCAGCTCTATAACCCTCAGTTCAGGAAAGTCTTGGACTTATTTGGGCACGTCAGGAGGAGGCCCATGAAAATGATCAGAGGGCTTAAACACTTCTTCTGGGAAAAAAGGCTGAGAGAGTCGGAGTTGTTCAGCCTGGAGAAGAGAAGGCTCTGGGGAGACCTTATTGCAGCCTTCCAATACTTAAAGGGGGCTTATAAGAAAGATGGGACAGACTTTTAGTAGGGCCTGTAATGATAAAACAAGGGGTAGTGATGTTAAAGTAAAAGAGGGTAGATGCCGACTAGATATAAGGAAAAATTTTTTATCATGAGTGTGGTGAAACACTGGAAGAGGTTGCCCAGAGAGGTGGTAGTTGCCTCATCCCTGGAAATGTTCAAGTTTAGGTTGGATGAGGCTCTGAGCAACCTGATCTAGTTGAAGATGTCTCTGCTCATTGCAGGGGAGCTGGACTCCCTTGTACCTTTAAAGGTCCCTTCCAACTGAAACTATTCTATGATTTTATGGTAACTTCTAAGAAAGCATACCAAAATCTGTGCTATCACTAAGTGATCTTTCGATCATAGAAAAAAAATCCTATACTTTTTCTACTATAAAGTCCTTCGACTTAAATCTCTAACAGTATATGAAAGAGAAATCACTGCCCATAGCTAACTCCTCTAATTCGGTTAGTTGGTTTTAGATGGAAAAAGAACAAGAAGGATCCAGAATTTTATCCTTCCAGATGCAGACTTCATTGTACACAACTGCAAATTATCCTTCACTCTTGCTAAACACTAAGCCAAAAGCCTTACAATGCTACCACAAAAATCACAGCAGTGTTTCAGATAATTTCAGCCAACACAGGACAGCTCAAACTCTAGAGTGTTTGGCTAGATCAGGACCAGAAGTCTGTTTACCTTGCATGATCAAATTCATACTCATTAGAGAACTACAGAATTAGTTTCCATTCATTATGCTGCTAATGATCTTGTTTGGGAAAAAAGTTCTAGATTTGCCTAGTCTGAAAGAGATAGCAAGTATTTTATTATATCTTAAATGAAACTGCTAATATTTGCTTCTGATTTTGACTAGAATGTGTCTCCTGATGTATTTTCCTCAGGTTATTCACTCTTTTCTGAAGAACTGATACAGTTCAACTCTGGAAACTGCATAAAAGTTCTCTACACGTGTGGGTTGCTTGGATTGTGGGATGCATGTTTAAAATAGTATCGTGGATGTATCTCATACTTTAATGTGTTTTAAACATACTGCATTGAGGTAGTTACGCAAAATATTTTACTGGGCTTTCACAGGAGCTTTATTTTATACTTACTACCAAATGAAATCATAGCTTCATTTGGCAGAAATTATACTTGAATTTGCAGTAGAGAAAATAAGATTCTTCCTTAAGGATGTCTTCTTCCCTATGTCATGTTTATTGTAGTTAGTCTTGTGCAGACATGAACACACAAGGAAAAGAGACCTTCTTAATGTTCTGAAAGTCAAGAACAGAGGGGATATGTAAATAACATATTTTTGTTTCATACCATTTACTAAATAATTGTTTTGATCCAAACTGAAGTAACAGTGAATTGCCCTATAAAAAGAGCATACAAATACTAACATAAAAATAGTCTGAGTGAAATTAAATATTCATTCAACCTTAAACAAAATGTGTTGTTTCATTTTGATCTCTTTTAACTACAGAAAAAAAATAAAAGTTTTTAGGAACTATTTGTGGTACTGTGGATACCCACAGCAGCTTTTAGCTTGCAATTAAATGCGAAGATCATTCATCTTCAGTACTGCAGAACTATATTAGTCTTCCCAGGTAATTGGTATCCGCATCACTCATACAGTGCCATACTGCTTTACTTTAAACACCCTGGATTGCTTTGCTGGCATTCTTATGTTGTATTTTTCCCACCCCTCTCAGAACAGTTGTTTGAGGTAGGTAAAGGAAGAATCTGTACACAGAATGGTGCTTTAGGTACTGTCACTAGTTGGGAAAAAATATTGCTCTCAGTTGTAATGAGAACCTGGAGGAGAGGGGTCACAAGCTGGTTCTAATCCTTATCCTGCTCTGATTTTGGTATCAGTGCTTATTAGCAAGTAAGTCATGTAATTAATTCTTCTTCCGTGTGATAATAAAAAAAGATCTGTCTGGTTTTTTTAACATAGTCTCTTTTTTCTAAAAAAAACCAATTTTTTGATCAATTTAGAAAAAAAACAAACTGTGAGTTTGTGCACTGCTGGATGCATAGCGTACTGTGTACATTTGGTAATGCAGCTTCTGTAAGTAGGGTGAAAATTTCTTGCAACATCCCATAGGAATGAATGTTTCCTGGAATAAGAAAAGAGTTGAGGGTTTGAATCCCTCAAGCTGAGATTTGCATTCTGCTCAAATCTTTAACTTCATGGGTTCATTTAGTTGCATCTTCAAGTAAAAGATGTTAAAATGGTACATAAATGTAAATAAATCTATGTTCCTTTTAACCAAATGAGAAGCAAACATTGAAGGTTTCAGGAGACCTATATTCAGATATGTTAACTGTAAGAATTCAGAGAAGTATGATATTAGCATTAAGACACTCAACTCTGACAACTGATAGAATATTTTTCTGGGACAATTTAGGTGCCTGATTATTTAAAGGTTATACACATCAGCCCCTTCAGAGTAGCTTTGGCAGGTATCCTTTTCCTGAGAATTTGTGACTTAATGTGTCCTTAAACCCATTCTTTATTATGTTCTAGCAATTTTTGACTCATTTTCATTCAAGTATCATACAGGTGAAGCTCAGATTGATTCTCTTTTTATTCCCAACTGTCTGACAGCTCTTGAATAACGACTACATTTTAGGTACATGGTTCAGTACCAACTAACCAAATGACAGGCTTTGGCTCCAATTCTTACATGTCCTTATAAGAATATCTTCCATATCGTGATGACAAAAACAATCTGCATATCTGTAAGCAGATATGCAAATAATTGTCACATGCATCAGAAGAGAAATTTTTAATGGTTTTTCAAATCCTTGGTCTTCTATCCACAAAAGTAAAATTCTTCTTATTATTTTGAATACAATTTTTGTAATTATAACACTTTCAGTCTACTGTTTTCTTTGTGTTACTTTGGTCATATATTGTAAAAGTGACATAATATTTCTATTTTTAAAAAGGTATTGACCCCAATGTTAATTTTTTGCTTTTGTTTCACATCTCCATACCTCAACACGGACAGGCACCTGCTTTATTTTCACAGTTCTTTTGTACTTTGAAAGATATGCATTTGCTTTTGATTTCAGAGAAAATGTTTCTTTCAACCTGTTCTGCAAATTGGTTTATAAACTGAAAATAGAAACCTTCCATTAATATTCCTTGCTAGTAGCTTGAAATTCAGTCTTTCAAAAAAAAGAAAAAATGGATTCATGTTTTCAGCTGTATTTCAGTTTCATAAAGGCAGCCAAATTATTTCTGCAGCTTTTTTCATAATCTCATTTAGAAGAATTCAGACTCTGAATGGTCTATTTAGCCATAACTGTTCCTCTTGTTAAATTTGATTTAAAGATTTTTATTCTCCTTTACATAATTATATAGTAAACAAACTAATCTCTTACATTTGCCTATGATGAAATTAGCTATTAAAATATATTATAAAAGAAAGGCAGAAATGGAAAATGTTTTTGCATAACTTTAGTATACAAGAAAATAAATATGGTTTTCTTCTAGCTCTATAGTAAAAAGCTTAAGTTGTTTGCCTAATGCAAACATTATTACATCACATTAAATATTTATGTTTTCTCCCTTCAAAATACTAAGGAGACTTTTCAGGATGGATTATCAACTGTTAGTTGCTACTGATTATTAAATTGCTGTTGTATTTTTCCAGATGTGCCATCAAGTCCTTATGGAGTACGAGTTTTAGAGTTGTCACAAACCACTGCTAAAGTTTCATTCAATAAGCCAGATTCACATGGAGGTGTTCCCATTCATCATTACCAAGTGGATGTAAAAGAGGTAGCCTCAGAAACCTGGAAAATAGTTCGCTCCCATGGAGTTCAAAGTAAGTATGTGAAAAATAAATGGAAGTATTTTAACTGATAAGAATGTCAAAGGAAAAGAAGGCAATATATGTTAACTCATTCTTTGTTTCTCCATTAGTCTTAGTCTGGTAGCTCCATCTTCAGTTAATATTAATGAAGTCAGACACCTTTACACCAATTAGAAATCTCAACTTTAATCTTATAAAAGCCAGTTGTGACTTTTTGGTTTAAAAAAGTTTGGTGAATAAATTTACAATTATTTTGCATTTTTCACTGTCCAGTCAAGTAGATATGAAAAATATTTTTGAAGCTAAAAATTTCAAAGAGACAGAAGTTGTAGAGGGGTTACTTTGAGAATGTGCATTTCATATGCAGTTAACTTAAAAAGGTATTATGTGATATTTAATTCTGGGCATTAATTACTGATTTTGAGCTAGTTAATAAACTTTCTACATTATGTTAATATTCATGATGTCTGTTTAAAAACATATCTGTAAATCTGTTCAACAAACATTAAATACATTTGCTAGATATTATATCTATTATCTACCTATTATATTATGAAGATGCTATAAATGGGGCCAGTTCCTTGCCAGATCTATGCCTTCTTTGCACTTCTTTAAAGGCAAAAAAAAAGTGTAAGCCTCCAAAGACAGACAGGAAATCTTTAAGTGCCTGATGAGGTGAGGAGTTTATACAGAGTAATAATACATTCAACAGATCAGTAATCCTTTGCATCCATGTTTATCCTTTGGTATTTTTTAACATAGTGCAAGTTAAAGCAGCCCAAACAGTCTTCTGATTTATACAGCAGGAGCTGAATTGTTTTGCAACTATCAGCACAGTGATGGGAGAAAAAAATGTAGCAAATGATCTAATGTGTGCTATCTCTTTCACCTCCTATAACCCATACACAAAAATTCTGCGCTAAGCCGAGTAGGTTCCAAATTACAGAATTATTTCAAAGAAACTTATAATGAATATGTAATTAACATATATTCAGTGAAACATATAATGACTTTTTATCTTTTGTTTTTCTTAACCATACACGATAACTGTGTGTATAAATGTAATACTGTAAGCCATAGTAATATTTACTTTGGTACAGCGTAGCTTGTATTTCTTTCAGTACAACATCTGAATAAGAGAATGTATTTCCTCTGCTTGTAGAACATACACATTAATGGACGTTAGTGTACCTCTTCCCTCATTTTCATGTTATGTTGAACCAACTTACGTCACCAATTTCGAGAATTTTTTCTCATACCTACTTTCTTCCCTGAATTGGCAATGAATTTCTCTGATGAGAATGACAGTATAAGAAATACTAAAACCTGAGGTGACCAGTCTCTGTAGTAGGGTGCAATGTACTCCAATGAGAACAAACTCAGTGACCAGAGAGTGCAGTCACAGAGATGCTTAATTGAAATGTAATGCCAGAAAAAGAAAATGTCCTTATTAGAGCCTGTTTACCTTAGTCTCCATAAAACTTTTTTTCCTATTATTTCTGTTAACGTGAAGTTTGTGAAAAGGTTTGTTGATTACATCAGGAAAGATATGTAAGTTGACAGACTCTTGTTATTAGAGTTGACTGGAGTTGCCTTCTTCAAAAGTTCACACTTTGATGTTGAATCATTCTTTCAGTATTACACATTTTTAAGTTGTTGTATAGAGTTCATTTTGGTGATAACTTGAATTGGTCTTCTTGCAATTATTTTAGTACAGTACCTGTTTGAATTGCATGCTAATTTATTCTAAAAACAGAGAGTAGAGTGGCGGGTACAAATACCTGCAGTGTATATGGAGACCATACCACTATGAAGTATGTCATGAGTATTTAGGATCTCTGCTGCCATCTCTACTAAAATTGAATATACAATTAGTTCCTACATGCTGTCATGTTATTTCCCCATGCCTTCCAGTTGTGCAATTTGCCTTACTTTTTTCAGTTTATACTCCTTTCTCACTTGGAACTTTTCAGGGGATTTACTTTCTTTCAAACATGTATTTTCCTCTTCATTTCATTGTCCCCCAGCTGTAACACTGAGAAGTTTTGTTGAAAAAAAGGTACCTCTTAATAGCTTGTATTATCAAAGACTATTCCAAGTGGTGGCAGAAAACTAGTAAATATGAAAATAACCTGAAGAGTCATCTTGGTCTACAAATTGATATACTTAGTAAATAGATAAATACTGGGAAGGTAAACTTTACTGAGAGGACAGTGGACAATATTAAAAATTAATTCTAGATCCATAATTAATTAATGCTGGTTTCTGAAATCTCTATTTGTATACCCCTGCAAATAAGGATTGAGATTGTATGTCCTGTATTTCTCTGAATTTCTTTCTGAACTACTTTAGAAATCAAAAACTACTTCAGAATTTCAAATATTCACTATGAAGGAGGCATCTTGGTTTTGTAAATCTTGTTGATGCTACACTATGTAATTTTATAGGGAAAAGAGACCTGGTTGCATTTATTGTAAGTTCTTGCAGATATTCTTTAATGAGTTAAAAACTTGTTCTTTTTGTGAGGTACTATAGGCCCAAAGCAGAAAAATAAAATTTGTTACCAAAACACAGGATGGGCAGCCCAGAGCAGAAAAAGTCTTCCCACATGGGGAAGTCAAAAAAACAAGTGTCCTTTTTTAATGAAAGTATTGCTAAATGTAACTGGAATCTTTCTGAAAAATTCAGCCTTTGCTTGTGTCTTGAGCATTCAGAGGGCTTCAGCAAGTATTCTAAAACATCTGTTTAAACCTCTCTCCATTTATGTTTTAGCCTACTTACAGTGTTGTAGTAGGATGATATTGAGACATCCTCTTTCAGTTCCTAAAATAATTTTTATAGAAGCTTTTTTTTTAATACATTATGAGACTTTTAGTTTAATTTTAAGTCTTTTTGAATGATTAGAAATAATACATGTTTTTGAGATGGTTTCTCATTTTACTTAAGTAACTAAGGACCACTCTCCTACCATGCCTCAACATCTTCTCAGCTGACTGAGGACAATATTTAGGCGACATGCAGTCAGTATTCTGTATTAGGATTTATGGTTGGATCATCACAATTTCCAAACTTGGTCAATATTCTTTAATGGAAACAATCACTTTTTTCATCTCTTCCCATTTTGGGGACAGGTTTATGGCTAAGACTCAGATATAAATGCTTTTTACACAGGAACAGTTAACTGCTTGCACATCTCAAGTAATGATGCATACATAATGCATGAGTCATGATTTTTTCCCAACAGCCAGTGATAAACTATGCTGAAATTTTACAGGATGTTTTTTTATCAGACTGATTTAGCTCAGGAGTGATAAAACAGTACTGCAGCCCTTTTGTGCTGCAGTGTAGGTAATGTGTAAATTCCAAGACTATCATTACAAGGAAAGAGGCAGAAAAACCTACATGAAGGAGATAGTTGCACCTGGAAGACTGTTAACCTACCAATACGGAAACTGTCAATGCTAAACTGGATCTTCTGGTCCCTCTCTACTATGACCAGAAGGCATAGTGTGGTTGCCTTCGTCCAGTAACGGAGTACAGCCATAAACTCATAAAATGAATGAAAACTGTATCTTTAAATGAGACAAACATCATGGAAATGTGCCACAGAACTTCATTTATAAAGAAAGTGTTAATAAATGATTAATGGATGTTCCAAAAGTTGTTGAAAGAATTGCTACTAACCCTAGCAAATAATTAATTTTCTTATAATTATGACCCAATAACTATGTATAAAACCTACAAGTATGTTATGGTTTAAGAAAACCCATAACAATATATTGTCGTTTAGACAATTATTCTATCACCATATGACCCCTCCCCACCCGGAAAGGGGAATCGGGGAACACAAAGAAACACAAGGGTTGAAATATAAATAGATTTAATAGACTAAGACCAAATAATTAACAATAATACTAACGAACCAGTATTAATCCCGATACTGATACAAGATATACAAGAATTATACTCAGCCAATTATATCAGCAGGAAGCTGTGCACTCCCAGCAGGGACAGCAAATGGCGGACACCATGAGCGCAATGGCTTCAGGAGGAAGGGAAGGCCTCAGGGGTCAGGCACCAGGGCAAGGAGTTGTCTGGACCACTGCCATCAACGGAGAGAGAGCTACGCAGCAAACTTTTCTAATTTATATTGAATGTGACTTTCATGGTATGAAATAATCTTGTTGGCTAGCCTGGGTCAAATGCCCAGGCCTTGCTCCTCCTTGTCCCTGCACCTGGAAAGGCTCAAAAACACTAAAACCTTGAATCCCACAGAGCCTGGCTGGCTATAAAGTAAATATTTTCACAAATTGAGACACTAGAGTCTTCTAAAAGTGCAATTTTCCCCAGTATTAGAAGAAAAGTTAGTCTTGTGTCTCTCAACCCAGGACAAAGTAGGAATATAATTCTGTTTCTATTTATATGAAAAATACAATAGATGCTTGCCAGAGTTGTTAGGCATTCTTATGTAATCAATCATCCAGTAAATAAAAATTAGCTTAATCAGAAAAATTAAGCAGTATGGAATGGATTATATGCAAATCTGTTCAAACAGCCTGCAGTTCTCTTCATCTAGGAAGAACATTGCCAGTTTCTTCAAAGACTCCCTCCCAAGGTGGCTTTTGTCTCAAGCTGTACTAGTTTGAGCTGTTTTCAGATCAAATTAAGGAGAAAATTCAAGAGTCTTGGAGCTGCAGTAAAGAATATCTGTCTCTCTATTCCCTCTCCTTTGTCTTTTATAATGAAGAAGATTTCATTTGAAAGCCTGTGCTGATTGCAGCTATTGAAAGAGCTGGGAAAGTGAAGCAATCATTCTGGTACACCAACTTCAGGCTATTTAGGGATTTAAAAGTCATAATCAACACTACCATAGTTCACCAAGAGATCAGTGAGCAAATGGCAGCCAGATTTTTCTGCACTTGTTAGATTTTCCTCTGAGTGTGAAAACTGTTTTGTTGCAAGTTAGCTGCAAACTTCTATATTGCTGCACTTTAGAGTCATGGAATGGGGGG